ATGAGATTCTTAGAATTATATCCTGGGCTGGAAGTGACGGAAAAACTGTCACTTGACAAATTCGAGTCTTGTCGCTGATGCAGCTTTGGGTAAACGATGGGTGGGGGCTTACTTTTACCCAACTTATTACGAATGGTTACCGCTGGTGGTGGTGCCTTTGAAGATGTTGTTGTTTCAATTTGTGTACTGTTATTGACGTTGTGTTCAGAAATAATTTGACCGCGTGCCGGTGGTACCGGTGGTACTGGACGTTTTGGTTGTTGATAAATAATGGCTGAGTTTTGTGTAAGTGGAGAGATAGCTGTATTCGATGCGGTACCCGAACCGGACAACAACGAGCCCGAGGAAGTACCCGAACCAGCAGATACTGTCGAGGACGTGGATGTGGAGGCCGAGACCGTGGAAGTACCTTTACTACTGCCGACACTACCACTACCGCTGCCGCAACCACTGCTTTGTAATGACTGCTGTGAACTATTCTGACTGCAAGGATGTGGAATTTTAGATGCATCTCCATATTGTTTCCTAGCTGGAACTGTGGGTGGCTTTTGCTGGTTCAAGCCGCTTAAAGTTTGAGAAGTTGCATTTGTAGATTGGCGACTACCCAGTGTGTTATTGTTGCTGGCCACCGTATTACAAGCAATGTGAGTGCGAGTTTCATTGTTATTCAAATTATTATAGTCATTCAAGGCATCATTGAGCATTGTACGCTCCATTTTGTAGCAGTCCTTGGAAAGTGAAAAGTCGCTTGTTTTCTCTGCTGGGCAGCTGTCCATTGATGATTGAGTATCCACTGATGAGAAACGACTGCGAAAGTCGGCACTTGTCGAAGAGGAGGCAAACCGCTCACTATGCCCCGATCCGTAACCCGATGAATTTGTAATGGTGGAGTCAGCGGTGCTGCTGGATGAGCGATTAGCTCGCTTTGCAGCGTTACTTAATTCACCAGTGAAAGCGACCAATGTTTTTGCTGTGAATGCGCTGTTAGCTAATTTCCCACTCGCAGTACCTTCTGTCGCAACTTTCGAGGCGACCTTGACAGGTGTCGATGTCAGCGACTCGTCAAATACAGAATTCTCCAAACTCATACGATCATCATCGGAAATGCCGCCGGCATCGAGACCCGCATCCACGTAGAGCGGACGTGTGGCTAGGTCAACAAGCAATGACTGCGATTGCAATTGATTGGGTATTTGTGGCGAATCCAATGGGTTAACACCGCTTGTGTTGTAATAAACTGTGTGGCTCTGTTGACGGCGACAGGGTGAGAGCGTTTGTGTTTGCGGTGGATAAACAAATGCGGTGCCTGTGCTGATATGTTGTTTATCTTTGGTTGGAGTTTGATTTGCAGACGTGAGTGTGGGCGAGTCAATTGCCGTATTCCAAGCGTAACTGCCACGAAATGTACGCCGGGGTATGGGTGGCGGTGGAGTATCCGGTGCTGAAGTTGGGGCTGCAGCCAATCCTGCTGCTGTAGCTGCAGTGTTAGATATGCCTGAAGGTGGATTTTGGGTTGCACAATTGGTCACCGTGTTATATTGAAAATTATTCTTCTCTTTGCCTTTTACCTGAAAGAAAAAACCAAAAACGCAGAATGATACGCGAATGAAGAATTACTTTTCGAAGGTAAATATGTATGTATGTGTGTATGTATGTATGTATGTACATATGTAAATGGGTCAATCCATTGCCGGTTACCAATGGTTGGAAATCATATTTGATTTGGATGAATTTGGTTAGAACTTTTCTTTTATCATGGAAACTACACGATTTGAATATCTCAAAATCTTTGATAGTTATAAAAATGGTTCTGATCTCGTTTTAAAACGCTATATAAAAAATATAAATATTTAAAAACTCGAAAAATAGAAAAAATATAGGAGTTTGAAATTTAAAAATCATAAAATCAAAAACTTTTACAAATTTTTGGTTCAATTGTTTTTAAACAATATTTCTAACTGATTAAAGAAAACCGAAATTTTCAAGGTATATTTTTAAAGATATGAATTTGTGAACTTAAAAAAAAATATTGTATTGCAGAGTTTGCAAATAAAAATTTTTTCTCAAGTTTAAAAATTCAAATCATAAGAAAACACATTCATGTAAGATCAGTTGTATAAGAAAATGTTGTGGACTGTTTACAGTTTTTTAATTTCAAAATTCTGTAAACTCTTTTAATAACTGACTTCAAAAAAAGGAGGAGTTTATCAGTTCGTCGGAATATTTTTTTTATATTTTTTTTATGTATGTTACCGCATAACTTTGTACCACGTAAAATTAATTTGTAAAAGAAAGGTGGTAGCTCCGAGGTGGTCCCATACTAATTTGGTTTAGATCCGATCTTTGAATCATGAGAATTGAAGTCGGTTTTGTTTTTTGCTTAATGATTACTGGTTTTTCGCTCATTTTTTTGCATATTTTTTCTTTATATCCCTAAATATCACCTATAAAACGAGACCAGAACAATTATTGTAACTATACTAGCATCGGCGTAGCCAGAATGAAATTTAGGGGGGGCTCGACCCTATTAAGCTGGCANACTATTTTATATATATATAAGGAAAATTTGAAAGTTAGGGGAGGCTCGAGCACCCCCTGCCCCTACCTGGCTACGCCCATGTATACTAGTTTCTCAGATATTAAAAAATAAACCTTGAAAATGTAAAATTTACCTTTCGAAAAACAATTTTTAAAATGTTTTCCTTTGTCAGAACTTCGTTTTATCATAAATGATTGACCCATAAGTATTTCAGTGCAATTATGTATTTACATTGGTGTATATGTACATATTAGCGATAAGACTATTAGGGTATTCGTATACCCATTCGGATATTCCGGTTAATATTCGTTCTATTC